CTAGCCTATAGTCCATTCTCCCATCTGCCTACTCTTCCCAGGTCTAACTGTATACTTGCATACCAGCTAGCTCCTATACACGAAACACTTCCTCAAAGTTCTCTCATTAGCTTGTCAACATTTTCATGATTTTACCTCTTATCGCTTGCAAATAACGTTTCCTTACCGAGTAAAGCTAAAGTTAACGATTATTCTCCTCCAGCTGATGCCTTTTCCAATTTATACCTGTGAATACCAACCTGGTAGTAGTGTAAAAATGTATTTAATTATTCATGAGCCTGACAAGATCTGCTGTGTTCAATTGATTTGTTGTGCATGTAATTCACTGCCTAAGTTTCAATTTGGATGTTTGTCTACATTGAACACTTCAGTTTTAGACTATATGCTGTTAAAAGGCATGCAAAAGATTGTTTTAATTTGCTGATCTAGCACTCAGTCATCAGATGATGTTCAGTTTTCATTGTGTCAATGGTGTTTCAGTACTGTGGACTTTGCAATCCATTGTGCCAATGCTGGCAGAAATACTGAACTCTTACGGTATAAAACTTCCATATCATTTAAGGCTTTGGATTAATGCTTTTATGGTGGAATGTCTATGAAATTGAGTCCCGAGGCCTGAGTTTGAGTCCTGAGGTTGCTCCTGAACTTGTTTTGTGACTTTTCTCAAGTCTTTAAACCTTTCTAGGCCTCAGTTACCCAACTGGCTATAGTTTGGGTTTTTTGCTGACTTTTTCTCCTCTCCCAAGGTGCTCAGCCAAGTTAGTGCACCAGCTTCATTTGTATGTAATATTTGGGTAACATATGATCCAGGCAGGATATCTGACCCCCTAAGCCTCATTTTCCCATCTGCAGAAGGTGATGATAATAGCTCCTATTAACCGATAGTTAGGGTGGTGCTGGACGATCGTGAAAGAACATCATGACTGACAATGGTAAGAAATCAAAGTTAGAGGTCACCATAATAAGGATCTGTTTGGAAATAAGATATAGGCAGAACGACTTAACATAAGAACATAAGCAGGAATTGACTCCTCAAATCCACTGAAAGATACAGAGCCAATATGAACCCACAAAACTTTAGTCAGCAGTTGTCTTTCATTTCCACCCAGGTCCTTGGGATGTTAGCAATCGACGGTTCTCATATCTTAGTGTGCAACCTCGGATAATGGAGATTAGCAGTGCGATATTTTCCCTTGGTTGGATAAATGCTCTCTTCAATTATATTAATTTCTCTTCCAATTAAAGCGTCATTAAATATATTGGTTTAAGAATTACCACGTGTTTCACTTGTACAACTTTCCTGTTGAAAGCACTGAACTGCTACCTTGCAGGTAGAACGGTCTCGCACACTGGGAAATGGGCTCCTCCACTAGCACGAACGGATCTGCTCAGTGGCTCGACTTGCTCTTGGAGCCAGAAGCCACGGCCCCTTCACGCAGGACCTGTGTCCAAGCCAGCACAGCACCCGTCTCAAAACCTGGAGACTGGGTGCCCCAGAGACAGGGGTCTTTATGATGGGTTCAAGTTCGGTTCTCCTTTTCGGATTCGAACTGCTCCTCAGACAGTCCCCGGCCCCTGGCCAGCGCCGAGGCCCGTCCTTTGTACCTGCCGAGCGCGTCGCTCGGCCCCCGCCCGGCCCGGGCTCCTCCCGCTCCCGGCGCCCGTTCCCAG